ATATTTTCTTCAAAATGATGATCTGTGACCCAAATCCTAGCCTCTTCCCCTGAAAATCAAATGGTTGTTCTCTTACAGTAGGCTGGTGATGTTTATTGGTACGTAGTGCTTTTGTATAGCCATCAGTCCACCTGACCAGCATCATGTTTGATGTATTTCTAACACTACAGGGAATTATTTCCTCAAGTGGAAGCCGCAGGATTACTTACGCTAGAGGAACTACTAACAGGAAAGTCTTTCATTGCTAGTTCGGTGTGATCGATGATAATTATCAATATTTTGTAACATCAACCAAAGCTGTTTTTAGGGCACTGATAAAGGTTTTGAGTATGCCGGTTGGGTTTAACACCTCAGTACCTTAGTGTTTTGTAAGCTTTTTTTGAGAAAACCCAAAAGTGCCGTAAGCATATGTTTTCAATGATACTTTGGGGAAAACTGTGAGCATGGTCACACTGCAGACACACCAAGAGACATAATAAGGCCAGGGCCCCGTTCCTCAAAGCGACCGTTGCTCTAAGATGATCGTAACTCCCATACTTTAACATAGACTTTGGACAGTCGTAGCGCTACCATCGCTTTGAGGAATGTGGCCCTGATCAATTTTATTTCTTGTTTTATGGATTTTTGTCCTCAGAAAACCTACAGATCTGTAAAACAAGAAATAAAATTGGTCTGGCCTAACAGAGAATCTGGTTTAAACCAAGTGTGTTATTTCTGGGTAATGGTCATGTGACCAGTGAAGGTCTGAGTTAGAATTGGTCTTCAGCAGCCAATCCTTTTTGTAAGAGGTGACTGACGGAATCAGATGGTCTGGATTGCAGACTTTGCTGACATCAATGTTTCCGATTGTGTAGATTGGTAATCATGGTTTTAGTCACTGGAATTGTCTGTCCCAGACACAAATATTTAAAAACTGCTGGGATGTTGCTGTTAGCAATGTATAACAGGAAATAAACTAACTTATCAAGGTCATTTGACCACGAATTATAGCATGCTGGACTGGTAAGCTAGGTGACCCTGTCCTCATGCTGACTACTACGAAATTGAGCTGATTGACCTGGGAATAATAATGGTCTGGAATTCAATGCAGTGGTCAGTGGATTCTGACATCACTAAGGAACATAACCTTTGGTCTCCTTGAAATTCGAGTACAAGGAAGTTTGTAAGTTGAAACAGGATTAAATATTCAAGATTACTTCAGTTGTATAGTGAGTGAGTGTGTGAGTGTGTTTAGCTTTACGCCACACTCAGCAATATTCCAGCTGTATGGCAGCAGTCTATAAATAATCGAAATTTGAACTAGACAATCCAGTGATCAACAGCATAAGCATCGATCTACACAATTTGGATACTATGACATCTGTTAACCAAGTCAGCAAGCCTGACGCCCTGATCAATTAAAAAACCTGGATCTTCACAGTGACATGCATGTGTGCATGCAGCTGCATGAGACTGTACATGTGTTTCAGTTCATCCATGTGAGCATGTGCGCTCATTCTTGTGTTTGTGTGTGTCTGTTTGTGCTAGCTCAGCTGAATTTATAAGCTCCACTTAGATACCGTGCTGAAGTTTAACGTGGATACTTACTCTGAGAGGACCAGTATTTGTTTCTCATCCTGAATGCCCAGCACCAGGTGGGAACACCAAGTACCATCTTTAAACATTTTTTTGGTATTGCATGGACAAGAATTGAACCACTGACCTCACGATCTGTGGAAATACTATGTGCTTGAGTGTGCTTGTGAGCATGTGTGTTTATTCTTGTGTTTGTGTGTGCATGTGAGCATGTGTGTTTATTCTTGTGTTTGTGTGATTCTTCTTGTGCAAACCCAGTCAGATTTAAAGTTCAACATTTTATTATTATTATTATACGATATTTATATAGCGCACATATCCAGGCAACTAGTGCTTGCTCAAGGCGCTGGTATTTTTTCCCCTCGATCATTGGATGTCAATCTCAACGGCACATCGTGTTATCAATCTCAACTCCCTGGGGAGTATGCAACTCTTGCAGCCACTAGACGCACGAGTTATTGTGGCTTTCTCATCCTAACGAGGTACCCATTGACAGCTGGGTGGACTGGGACACATAGTCACAGTACTTTGTGCAAGATCACTGCAGGTTGCTGTACCCACAACTAGGTGTTTGCACGTATTCATGTGGCCACCATCTGGTCATATACCAACGGATTCGTGGGTTCTTTTAAGTGAACATGGTTGTGTACTGTACACTAGGGGTTGTGACAACACTGAAAGAGCCTGCACACAAAGTTGACTCCAAGGTTTTTATCCCAGGTCACAGGTGGGCTCGATCCCGGCACCTCAACCTCGCTGGATCACTAGCCTGGAGCCCCAACATGGATATCCCACTCAGAAATCATACACTGACTCTGAGATGACTGGTCCTTGTCTTATCCCCTTAAGGCCAAGAGCCCATTAGGTAACAACAAGTAACATCTTTTAATACTTTTTGGTATGGCAAGGACCAGAATTGAACCACTGACCTTCCATGCTCTGGGCAGACACTATATCCTCTACACCACACATCTCATCTTGTATACAAACACAACTGACAGGGATTAATAAACTTCTATCATCTGGAAAGCTTGAGTGTTAACTGAGATAACAGCCTATGAGGCAGTCAACCAAATATTTTAAGGTTATGATAATGCTGCAGAAAATGATGGGCCCTGAACTAAGTGTTGATCGTTTCATGTACTTTCAAAATTCTGGTAAATATTCAATAATATTATTTTTGTCAGATATTTGATAAAATGGTAAATCAAAGTAGGGTCATGTACTTGTACATGATGGGTATCAGCCAAGATTTTGGTTGAGAAACTAACATAATTTTCTTTCAACTCGAGCAAATCTAAATGTTCTTCAAAGATTCAAGCAAATCTGATTAGCATTTTTAAAAGTAATGACTTTATTAAGGGGAAACAGGTTTAGGGTCCCAATATGAAATTTAACTTTTAGAGATGGTCATGATAAAACAGACATTTCCATAACCTTCATTATTCAACAGTTTTTGTTAAAAGTAGGCTTAATGTCGTTTTGGAGCAGTTTCATGGCAAAATGCACAAATCTCTTCATGAATCACAGGATCTTGTTAATGCCTGAACATGATATCTGGTCTTTTCCTTGAGTGAAGTCATAGTCTAATATCCCATTACATGGACCACAACTGAATATCAGATCTATAGTGGATATTTCTAATTCAATCATTGCAAGGCCTATCTTATTGAAGTTAAATTTGGAATAAATGAATAAGCAGCTTGAGAGAATTATGCAGCATTTACAGTAAAACTTTTTGGTTTATTGATTTACTCTGCAGTCAGCAATATACAAGCTTTATGGCAGCTGTCTGTAAATACGAAATGTGTGAAGCCCATTTGTGGTGTCCCCCGCCATGATATTGCTGGATTATTGCTAACAGCGGTGTAAAACTAAACTCCCTCACTCACTGTCTGTAAATAATTGAGTCTGGACCACACAATCCAGTGATCAACATCATGAGCACCGATTTGTGCTATTGGGATGCGATGACATGTGTCAACCAAGTCACAGCGTGCCTGACCACCTAATCCCGTTAGTCGCCTCTTACGACAAGCATGGGTTACTGAAGACCAATTCTTACCCGGATCTTCACGGGTTTACAGTAAAATGTTTGGCTAATATCATACTTAAAGATGATGTGCTAAAAATTAGCAACATGCTGCTTGATGATGTGCTAAAATTAGCAATATGTTACTTGATAATGATGTGCTAAAATTAGCAATATGTTACTTGATAAGATGTGCTAAAATTAGCAATATGTTACTTGATAATGATGTGCTAAAATTAGCAATATGTTACTTGATAATGATGTGCTAAAATTAGCAATATGTTACTTGATAAGATGTGCTAAAATTAGCAATATGTTACTTGATAATGATGTGCTAAAATTAGCAATATTGTACTTGAAAATGATGTACAATGTGGTAACCATATGCAAGGTGATAAATAAAACGTGCAGTGCAGCAACAATATACTGTGTAACTTGGTAACAATGTGCAATCTGACAGTTACGTATTTTACATCAACACATACCAACATAGTAATGATGTGTAAAATTACACCTGTCCTTTTAATACCAAGTGTGATATACCTATTTCTATTATGCTTCTATCATTGACCTATTCAACGCCAAACATTTTTGGGTTGATTGTCATGATGCTAAAAATACTTGTCCAATCAAATCGCATCATTCTTTCAGAACAGTATCACCAGTAATCTTCTTATCGCTTGAATCCCATCACAATTGCAAAGTCTTGGAATAGTTAGGGGACTCCCTGACCATGTCATTGTACTTGCGAAAACATCTTTTATTGTAAGTCCTGTGAATTGTTCAAATAATCTTGGTGACGCTTGAATAAGGCGATGATCTTAAATGTGGAAAATTTAAAATTTTAATAAAATTTAAATTTCGATTTAAAATTTTAAATTTATGTAAAACTTGCATCCAGAATAGGCATTTTGATTGTTTGAATTGAGTCATGAGTGAGAGACATTCAGTGTAAGCAATAAGAATGGAGCTCGTGACACGAATTCCCCAAGGAAGCATTGCTGGTGAACATGTGCAGGCGATGTATCATGATAGAGTTAAGATAGGAGATACTGGAGAGCAATGGAAGAATCACAACAACAATGTAATAGCATGGAAACAGAGTAACAAGACAAGGAGATATCTGCTGTTATACCATGCAAATACACGATATTCCTAAGAAATCTGTGCTTAAAGAAGAGTCAGTTGTATGATTCTGGCTATATGATGATGATGTGTTTATGAATCATTAACAAATAGTGATGATAACAGGTGTTCGAAAAAAATGTGAGTGTAACCTTCCCAATTACTGCTGGTGTTTGAACACTTGCAAATCTGGTTTAATACAATACTAAGATCCCGTCCTAAACTTTATCAAAGATACCTGTACCTGTATCAAACTTAAAACTCTTACCTGTAATTGCTCCCTCTGCATTCTCAGAGTCGCTGTTACTATGGGCGCCAACGATGACGCTGGCGACGGTGTTATTATATTCCGATCCCGATGCACTGCGGGACGCATTCGCAACATCCTGCTGCCTCAGGAGCGAATGAGAATCCATCATCACAACTTTAGATTCCCGAATGACACCGCACTTTATGTTGGGAACCACTCTGCTCCTTAAGTGAATTATCCAAATTTGAATCGGGAGATAACTCTCTTGAACTTTTCACACTATCATCTAAATTATCTCCCCACTGGGAACTCTCCTGGAAATAAAGATAAACTCCAATGGTGCGAACATTCGCCGTTTCATCCACATGCAACACTTCACGTGTAATTTTCTCAAATTTTATACACGAATGGGGCAGGACATTAATCTTCTCCAACGCTTCAATCACAGAATTGTAGAAACGCTCCGCCGACTGACTGCTCGATACAACCTTCGTGGTATTCCCTCTTCTATTGTCTGTGTCAGGGAACCACAGTGCTGACTGCTTAGCAGTGCTCTCCGGGAGCTCGTTGATTTCCGTTGGTTTAGCTGCTGATGCTATGACTAGCATCAAGATGGGCAGTTCATATAGTAGCCTCCTCATTCTTAGGGCTTGGAATCGCCATTCGATCTCACTACCTGAAAACACAGTAATTAAAGGCTGTCAGATAGCGTGGCTACAGTTGTCATGCTAGTTGGACGGTTCAGCTGTGGTTAACATGCTCGGGTCGTGGTGGTGGAATAAAATGGTCCATGTTACTGTACATTTGTCAATTTCATCATCTGAGCATAGTACATTAACACACCCAGATGAGCTTTACCTCGTCCATGAGAACAGAGAGTCATTAGTGTGATGCAGTAGTACTGTATTGACTCAGGGGGACGGCAGTGTAGGATGTTAGTTATCATTATTGATGCAGTAATGGAGAAAAGCCTCCATGGAAAACACACCATTACCAGTATTTGTGAAGCAGTTAGCTGAAATATATCTCCCTCTCAACCAACTGTGACATTCCTTGGCTCCATGTTATTTACCTCAAGGTTAAACATGGCTATCTGTTATACATGTATTCCCCAGGGTTAAACATGGCTATCTGTTATATTCTCCAGGATTAAACATGGCTATCTATTATATTCTCCAGGGTTAAACATGGCTATCTGTTATATTCTCCAGGATTAAACGTGGCTATCTATTATATTCTCCAGGATTAAACATGGCTATATGTTATATTCACCAGGATTAAACATGGCTATCTGTTATATTCTCAAGGATTAAACGTGGCTATATGTTGTATTCACCAGGATTAAACATGGCTATCTGTTATTTTCCCAAGGGTTAAACATGGCTATCTGTTATATTCACCAGTGTTAAACATGTCTATATGTTATATTCCAAGGGTTAAACACGGTTATATGTTATATTCCCCCATTGTTAAACATGGCAATATGTTATTTCACCCAAGATTAAGCATGGCTATGTTTATTTTCCCTTGGGTTAAACATGGCTATAAGGTATTTTACCATCGGTAAAACATGGCTATATGTGATTTTCCCAAGTTTAAACATGGCTATGTGTGTTTTTACCAAATTTTAAACATGGCAATCTGTTATAATCCCCAGGGCTGATAATGGCTAATTGTTATTCTCCCCAAAGTTATCTGGAATTCTTGGAAAACACTTGCAATAATGAGAGAACAATAACAATCTTTATTTTCTAACAGAAAATACACACACACACTCATACAGATAGACACACATAGACATACAGAGACACACAGAGACATACACATGCATGCACACACATGCACAGAGACTGATGAATGTAAACTGTTCAACCATTAACTTGGGTTGATAATGGTTCTATAGCCCAAACAAAATCATCGATTGGAAACACCTTTTTTCCAACCATTTCAATGGAAGTTCACATGGTGCTGATAAGCTTTAATTATTCATGAATAATTCCCTTATAAAGAAGAGAAAACTTCAATTCAGCATCACAAATAGCTTATATGAAGTTTTTCAAGGCAATTTTCTACATGGTATGGTCCCAAGCTATATCACATCTTCTTTTGCCACTTCTATCGAAACGCTTACTGAACATATCCGCCGCACATCACAAGAATGTTATCTTTTGATAGTTTTTAACTTCACTGGACAGCCGACAGCATATTCTCTTTGAAATAGGATAAAAAAATAACTGATTTCAAGTTAACGCTTCATGTTCATAGATTAAAGACAATGAACTCTAAAATGATGCTCACTAACATATAGTGACATTTTATCAAAGAATATAAGGAGTTATTAGGCGTTGAAACTGAATTGGTGATTTTCACAGTGATGTGATGTCTGGAATACTACTTTCCTGCCAACATGTACAAAGTTATTGTCCTGATAGGTCTTGCTTAAAATGCTATTTTCCTGTGTACATCTAGTGACTCTAAAAGATCTGAGTTGTGTGCGGGTTTTTGAACCACAGACCTGATTTGAAGTCAGATTCTTGTCCATACGACCTAAAATGTTAATTCTGTCAGCAAGCTTACAAGGTAAGGATGCAATTTGTTTGATTACTCCATACCCTGCTGAATACATAAGATTAAAACTGTTCAAATATTTTGCTTTTGACAACCATTAGTTGTGAACTGACTAAAGGACGTACATGTTGGTAGCACTACTGATCTATTGCCATGTAATAATGTTCTAGATCATACCCATGCATGTTAAAATACATCCTCATCCTGATATTGTCATATTTTTGCCAGGTAAAGAAATAAAGGATTTATGTGCCAAAGTTTCAAAATCTGGTCCAGACAGACGAGAGTAATTTTCAAATTGCCACACTCAAGATTGATTTCTCTTTATCAGCATCCTTTAGGTAAAAAATGTATGCCAACAGCTTCTCTTCCTCACCTGACCCTCGTGAGAGAAATTCAGGTGAGAGTTATCTCCCCTTGTCAGGTACTAATGTCTGCCACATATGAATTGAAGGCATTTGAAACCAACTCCCATTAGATCCTGCTGGAATATTGCCCAAAGACTCTCTCTAGAAACATATCAATGATAACGGGTTGATTGTTATTTGTAATTTTTTTAAAACTTTTTTGTTGTTGATACAATTAGTGACATACTTCACTTAATCATTCTGGCTGGAATTTTTTTACAAATTATTGAACTAACTCTGCCTAAACATAACCTGTTTGTCTCTCTTTATCAACATCTTTATCAACATCTTTATCACCACCTTTCTCATCGTCTCTCCATCTCTACTCCTCTTCCCTTCAGTTCACTGCAACATCAGCCAAGAGTTGATCCCACAAGTCAAGTAATTCCTATATAAGTCTACTCATTATAGATTCTGCCCTAGACTAAGGCTTAGTCTCTGAATATATATAATTTTGATAGTAACAAACAAGCCCATTTATATTGAAAAGGAGCCCTAGGGAGACCAGAGATTCAGAACCTGAACCTGAGGAAATCTAGACTTGCTTTATTTAGGGCTTTAGCACTGCAGAGAGGGCTTGGCAGTAGGGACATTAATGTGGTTCAGGGACTGTGAGACAGACTAATTCTGCCTATACAGCCCCACTTCACACCTCAATGATATAATGATTTCTGCAAGGCCCAGTTGCCTGACCACCAACAATCAATAACACACTGGACATGGTCTAGTTAAAATCTATTGATCTTGCTGACAGGACAGACCCAAGTCTGCCATTTCTATCAATACAGAGCTTGTAAATATGACTAATTAATCTCCCAAACCCTACGGCAAAATACCAGGCTAATCTACGCTTGTTGATCTGGTTATGCGAAGATTTGACACGCTCTAATACACTGGAACACTATGCTGCTTCCAGCGACAGCTGCAGAGGCAAACGACCATGTTGATGAAGATGACAAATCTCTTTAGCTTTAAGACCATGAAAGTGGCTTAACAGGAGACTAAGCTGCCTCGTGTGTATCAGCTTCAGCCCACGCACCAATGACTGTTAATACTTTGATAATAATGAAAGGACTATTGAAGCTAATTCTGTAATGACGAGGAAATAAAGTAGATCGTAAGGAAACATTTTCGCCTAATGTGTTCTATGCTATCCAACTTTTCGTGGGGATTATGGGTCCACGTAGTGTGAAATAATTTTCCAACAGCACCAGTCAGACTGGCAAGATAGATAATGTTTCAATTTAGATTTTAGTAGCCAGTTGTTTTCATCCCACAATATACTCCGAGAAATGTGGTTGTGGAGAAAGAAAGATTGTTTTTTAAGTTTCAAGAAAGTTAGAACTGCTATCTGTTTGTTGTTTAACATCGCACTCAGCAATATTCCAGCTATATGGCAGCAGTCTGTAAATAATCAAGTCTGGACCAGACAATCCAGTGATCAACATCATGAGCATCAATTTATGCATCTGGGATACAATGACATGTACCAAGTCAGTGAATGTGATCCCATAAGTCGCCTTTTACAACAAGCTTGGGTTGCTTAAGACCAATTCTTACCTGGATATCACAGGTGACTGCAATCTAAGTCAGTGTAACTTGATTCAGCTGCATAAAAGCCAATGGATAGAAAAGATATAATGACAATATGATTCATTGGATGCCTCTCTAGAAAAGTCTTTTTCTAGTACAATGTGATTCTTTTAGAACGAGCAATATATATATTTTTTAACAATTATGTTAATTACAATCCAATCTAACTGTTCAAGTTAGACTGACACTTAATCTCTGAATATATACAATTTTAGTAGAAACAAATAATTCCTTTAAAATTGAAAAAGAGACCCAGTGCAATGGGAGATTCATAGTCCAGCATGTGACTTCACAACTTTGCACAATACCAAAGTGGGCCCTTGGCTGAAATACAAGTTTTTTTAAATGAAGGGAACAAGATGCAGTTCTGAGACTAGGCATGAATGTTTTTTGAGGGAGAAAGGGAGATGTAAAACATATGAAAACAGATATAAAACTCAATTGTCCTTCTAAGATTTTCTTTTCACTTGCCCACAAGAAAAATTAGCAGCCACAGGCGACTGAACAGGTGCCCAGATGGAACTGTTATCTTGTGTATATGTTGTCACATAAGTAGCATTTCTTTGAGTGATAACTGACAAATTTTCAGCTATACTTACAGTTGAAATAAACATAAATTCCCATTTACATTGCTGAACTTGAATATTCAAACAGTATAGTATCTTTAGCAAATGTTGAGCGGTATATTAAGGTAAAAGATTATGTCATAGAAACTAAGTCCTGGAACTGCAACTGATGATCATGTAGCTCTATGGACTTCAGATGTAATTGGTGTCAAAGGCATAAAATGGATCAGAACGAGGTCTTAAAATAGCAGCAATATCGGCAATTTAAAGAGAATGGGTTGCTACTCCCCCTGGCAAATATGGTGGTATCAACTTCAGCTTCAACAAACTCCAATAGAATAATGTTTTTTATTGCCAAACCAGATTGAATCTTATGCTTGGTTAATTAATGCTGTCTTCATTAAATACAATAATGGTAAATCAATGTTATATTGCTTTGTACTGATGCCCAAATATTCTTATGAACTTTATTGGTTTGGTTATTGTTTAACACCGCACTCAGCAATATTCCAGCTATGTGGCGGCAGTCTGTAAATAATCGA